ATACATGTATTATCCTCAAACTGAGAAAAATACGACTAAGACGAAGACAAATATGAAGGCGGCGATGATGTACAAGAATATAATCATTGGAGTAATCTAGGTAGAGTATATAGGTGTTATCCTTGATGTGTGCGAATTATTTTATCACCAACTCGAGTACCTACCTACCTAATGTCTCTTCGGTCAAGCCCCTCCCCACACTTCCGCTTGACTTTTCAGATTTTTCTCCCCGGGCGGCAAGGTCGGGACCAAAAGAAAATAGCACACATGCCCATTGTATTATGTAGATGTTTGCTGAGTTTTGTTTGATCAATACATCAAGGTTCAGGGAATAACTCCATCTACTCCAAAGATCGTATGGTACATAGTAAGGTAAGGCACGCAACCAGAGTTCTGTTTGGCCGGCTGTCGGGTCGGATCGAGGATCTCCAAGTCTGCAGTCATGGATGGAAACACAGGCCAATTACGTACTAGACTTGGGGAATTGAGTTCTACAACGTAGTATACATGACGTGTAGTAACTATATGTCTAGTAATATATGTGGAAGTAAGGCCGAAAAGCAGGGAAGCATCATTTGCATTCCATTGCGTGTGTAAGTAGGTAGGTCGGGTAATAGAAAACTGCTGACGCTGGTATGTTGTCGATTGAATCTTATCAAGACGGAATTCGAAGCCTCGATCAAGGTCAAAATACCATTGGATGGATTTTGTTGAGGATGCGATGCTGCGAACGGGTAGTCTTATGTAGTCTTCTGTAGTCTTCTGTAGATGGGTTGCATACATCGCGTATCATGAGGGGCTATGCCCTACATGTACATAGCAACTGCAGAGAAAGACTCTGGACCATCGATTGTGGCGACTAATACATACATATATCCAATACAGTAGAGATATTTCCTGCGAGCCTGACAGTAGCTTACTTTCGAAGCAGGCTGTGTTCTAAGTTAAGAAAAGTGTGGTCGTATGATGCGATATACAATATTTGATTGGGTTCTTTAACAACTAGAATCTCGACCATTTTCTTAGCTTGATATCTACACGATATAGGGCCTACAAGATCGGTAGATCGGGTTACTAAGTATAGCAAACCAATTCAACCACGAGGCTACCGGTGTAGACCGTCTCGAAGAAAACCGAGTAATAGCGCTGAGCGGCTTCGGTTGAAATCTTAAACCAAACGTCAATCCCGTGCTTGGTAGCTTGGAAGTTTGTAAAAACCATCCGAGGGATGTTTAGAAACGTAGTAGCTTGTAGCACTACCTGGTCAGTCAGGGGTAGAAGAGCTCCATCTCGTCGAGGTCATATCGTCATCGAGCGAGAATGAACCCAAATCATGACCATTCTCATAGACTCTTCCTCCGCGAAAGCCATTTTTTGTGATCAGATACTTGCACTTGATAGTTCTAATGGCTTATTGAGAAAGATGCATTTCTGCAAATTGGCAAACACGACTTGGGAAAAGAATCATCCAATATTATGTATGTTTGATTAGGCTCCAATTCCCCAAGAGATTCAAGCCACAATCCCAAGGGACAAGCAACAAAAATGGAAGTGCGCTAGGTAAGTTAGAGTAGCTACTAGATATTAGACAAGTATTCGTTCCTCGTAACAGCCAAACGGCGCCACCAAAATCATCATAGCGGTCGGGATCTTGCTGCAAGGTCAAACTCAATTGCACGGATTGTCCGTGCAGTTCCGTGTCCGTCTTAGATCCAGGTTCATTGGAAATTTCCAACTTTTTTATTTTCCTTGTGTCAATCATCATCCCCTTACATAGTAGCATTTTCTCTTTCATCTTTTTTCTTCATTCGTATTTCTCTCTCTTTGGCTTCCCTCTGACGACACTGTCGATCTCTACACTATGACTTAATACCTTTTGCCTTCATTCATTTTTGCTAAACTCGTAGCTGTCCCGTCTCTACTTACATACTCGCTAATACTCCTGGTCCGGCGCGTTGTTTGCTGCATTCCTGTGCGCTCCTGTCCTATCATTTCCATCCTTCGGCATAAGCTGAGAGACACTCGAGGAGGCATAAGCGTAAAAAAAATAGGGAGCTCAGCCACGCCTTACCTAGGTGGCCCCCCTGTACGTTACTTCGTATGCATTAGCCTATTCGCTCTGGAATTCCCTCTGGCTCGTCTAGCCAGTTAAGACTGCCCACCGTCGGCCGTAGTGTACTTCTCATTGTTCTCGTCCATCCTCCTGGCGTTCTCCCTTTCGCGTCTCAGAGACCACACAACCGCACAACACGAAACAGTAGCCAAGTTCAATTGTCTGTTTCCCCTTGGAGCTGTCGCGGCTCTTTTCGTCCAGTCTTCTTTGGCTGTGATTTAGCCAGGTCGGCCGGTATTTCATTCGCAAGAAAAGGTATGTCGCTAATCATAAAACATTTTCATTTTCATTCATTGTGCAAACCCGAAAAAGATGGCGTTTTAATGCACTTGCACATTGACAACGCTTTGTGGCAACTTGCGACACATTCCATGATAACCTCATTGGACCACTCGGCTCCAGTGCCCCATTCATCCGATCACCGCTCCGCTTTGTTTTACACCTTATCTCTGACCGTATTCTTCTTATACTGTCTTTGATGTCTTGACGACCTCTTTCCTCGGAACACACCATGCTAACATGACGAACCCAAGGCAAATCTCTGGATTGATAGTCGCAAGACAGTTCACCATGACTTCCAATTCTACGAGTGCGGATACGTCCGTACCAGAATCGACTCCAAGTCCATCAAGTCCGTCTGAGACCACGACTGAAATAACGCCTACTAGTCCATCAACTGACACTCCTACTACACCAGCACCTGCAGCTACTTCTAGCACTACTCCTACCGACCCTACTACCGATCCTACTTCTGCACCATCACCAACAACGACAACAACAGCCCCAGCACCTACCTCTACTACACCTGACACTCCAACTACCACTAGCACGACCCCAACCTCCACGTCCACTACTGAAACCATACCCTCTTCCACACCGCCGACGTCGCCGACGACGACCACTACTCCTCCCTCATCAACGACACCAACATCTACCTCCACCACGTCAACAACACCACCACCGAGTACGAGCCTTATCGTTATTACGTCGGCGCAGAGCACCGGGGCAGATGGAAGCACCGCATTTATCACAGTTACTTCGACCCAGGTCGCTAGCACTAATCCACAAGCAACCGACAATCCAACTTCTACAGATTCCACCGGTGCTATCATAACTTCAAATGGCAGCGGGTCGGGGGCCATGGCCGAGCCGGCTAAGATTGCTGTCGCTGTCGTGGTTCCAATTGCTGCCGTAGCCTTGTTGGTCATTGGCGGTATCTTCTTTTGGAGAAAGCGAAAGCAACGCAAGGATGCCGAAGAAGAGAGGAGGAAGGAAGTTGAGGACTATAGTTATAATCCTAATAACGACCCGGCCCTGCCTGACGTAGGAAGTACCGGAGCTGCGGGAGCGTACGAGATGAAGGAGGACTCTTCGGGCTACCGCGGATGGGGCTCAACCACCCTAGCAGGTTCAACCGGAAGGAAAGCTTCGACTACCATGTCAGGTGGTGCTGCCGGCGTGGCTTACTCGGACGCAACGTCGCCAACCAAAGGAAACTTTTCTGATACGAGATCAGGAGATGGTCTAATGAATGAAGGCTCCCCATCACCGCCGGAAGGCGAGATTCTTGGTGCTATGGGTCCAGCTGCCAATGACGGTCGTGATGGCAACGGTAACGTCCATCGTGGGCCATCCAATGCCTCGTCGTCTTACAGTGCCGCTGGCCGATCTGACGGCTCGGGTGAGAATGCCGGCTCGTACGGAGGCCCGGCATATATCGATCAATACGGCGGCAACAACCCATATGCTGATGGCGCATATGGACAACAGCGCCCAGGCGAGTTAGGAGGACAGCCCGTCATACGCGACAACCCAGCTCGACGCAATACTCGCATCGAAAACCCGTCGCACTATCCCCAACAAAGTGCCGGTATTTCGCAAAACTTTTAAATTAACTGTCCCGGTTCTCTGCTCCTATTCAGATGATACCCGAACCTGGACCCAACACATCTTCAACCAAGCAACGCTATTATGTATTCCTTTTCTTGGATTATAAAAAGGAGTTCAGCGGTTCTTGAATTACACTTTTACTGTCCTTTGTGCATAATTTATCTATCAATTTCAGTTTAAATCTCCCTTAGACTTTTTTAAAAGATCTTACCTAATCATAAGGTCACCCGGCGTACAACTAAGGGAGCATTGGACTGCTGTATATACTCGGCAGAGGCAACAAACATCTAGCGTCCGAATTTTTAGTCCTTCTCTTTGGTACTCGAATTGCTTCTATATTTCCACAACTACGACCTAATTTCGAAACACATGGACTGTGTGTTGGTTCGCTTGGCCACCCTTTCAAAGTCTCGGTTGCTCGCCCGTGGGGCGGCATTGGTGGTTCAGTTCATGAAGAGTCGGAGGCTACGAAGAGGAAAGAGGTATAGCGGCAAGAAGCAATGTTTGGAGGCTTGAGGGGGGGAGTGGGATAGGGGGTTGACCGACACGGAACTGGATGCAGCCACTTAGGCAGGGTTCAGGCCGTCTCGTGAAAGAGAAGGAAACTCTGGGAGCACTTAGTGTTCCTAGTCTATAATGAAAATTAAAAATATCTGGCCGCGAAACTGGCTCTTATAAATGAGAATACCATCGACCTTTATTAATGTCCTGACACTTCAGCGTGTATCTTAGTTGTGGTTATTCTAACTTGGAGGTGAGACGGAACTGATGGCCTCTACACACTTGGTATCGTGGTATATGATTTGTGTGAATAGTGGTGGTATGGGTAGATAATAAGGTCTGAATAGAAATATGAACATAATGCTGACTATTATAGACTAAACTCTCCCAAGACTCCTCCCGTGACCAAGTGGTGAGCAGGATACATGTTATGTCTTTATTCAAGGTAAGCAATGTAACGAATAAGTTACTGCTGAGTTTCAAAACAAAAAAAACTTGGCCTAGACAGGATTCGAACCTGCTTCTCTCTAAAGCCCTACACTTGATAGTTAAGGGATGTTTAAGCGCGTTACCGTTACGCCACTGGGCCCTCGGGCAATGCAAATTGCATCGTTGTTGGTTGTTGAGAGTTCAGGGTCATACCTGACGTTATAATGATATTGCCGCCTGGGTTATTAAGTCACGAGAGAAAAAAACAAGTAGCCAAGGCAGGAATCGAACCTGCGTCTCTCCAAGACATATTTATATCTAACCCAAGATACCGTCTCCGGAGCGCGATACCACTACGCCACTGGGCCCTTACGCGATGCATATTGCGTCGTTGTTGGTTGTTGGGAGTTCGGCGTCATACCTAACCTTATAAGGATACTGCTCAGAACACTGGGACTTGAGATTAAAAAGGTATAGCCAAGACAGGAATCGAACCTGCTTCTCTCCAAGATATATACCTGACCCAAGATACAGGCCTCCAGAGCGCGATACCAATACGCCACCTGGCCCTTAAGCGATGCATATTGCGTTGTTGTTAGGAGTTCGACGTCATACTTGACATTATAATGATATTGCCGCCCAGGTTAAGTTGTAAGAAAGAAAGAAAAAATAGCTAAGACAGGAATTGAACCCGCGTCTCTCCAAGACACACCCAACCCAAGATACCGTCTCCGGAGTGCGATACTACTACGCCACCTGGCCCATCCATCATTGTGTTTCCCCATACCTTGTTAAGTATTCGGCGTCGTATCTGGCGCTATATCGATATTAACACCCAGGTCAAGGTAGATTAACCATACTACAGGCCCTGCTTCCTTCCTGTTTAAGGGGAAGAGCCCCAATAAATAAATAAACAATAACCCAGGCAGGATCCGAACCTGTTTCTCCTTGAGGCTTTACATTTGGTTGTTATTACCCAAACTAAGCTGCAGAGCTTCTAGGGCGCGTTACCGTTACACTACTGGGCCTTCGGTGGGATTAGATGAAAGATCTTGAGAACTCAAGAACGTGTCTGACGCTATATTGACAAAGCAGCCTGGGTCAAACTGCAGATAAGGACATCACTTGACTTGATTTTATCCCAATCTATAGACAGAGGGACATGTATGAACTCCCGAGTCTCAATATTAACAAAATATTAGCCTAGGCAGGATTCGAACCTACTTCTCTGAAATCTTTACACTCGTTGTCCAACCCAAGCTGCAGAGCATTCAAGGCGTGTTCCACTACACCACTAGGCACTCGTAGTGTCATAGTCTGGGAGTTAGTAGGAGTTGGACCACGTATCTGATGTTTTAGTGATACTGCTGCCCAGGTCAAGTTGTGGGGGTAACTAATCACAGGTCGTGCTTGCTTCCTATTCAAGGAGATGTTTGTCTAGAAAGACAGGAAACAGGGGACGTGCACAGTCGAATCTCTAGTACCAAGTGGCCATGAACACAAACAACTATAAGCATATATTCAACAGCTAAATCCCGAGTATTTCTACGATAGATAACGACTTAGTACGGTCACGAACGGATATAAAATTTACATATTTTATATATACCACGTAGTCGCCTAGCTACCGGTTCTTTAGCCCAACATAGACATTATAAAACGAGTTACTATCACCTTCGTTCACTAACATATCTAGCTCTATTATTAACAACATATTCGAGTCTTACAATAACAATATGCAAATACATAGAATACGCCCGTAGATATATGAGATAGAAGTCGCTTCAGGGGTAGTTGGACTTGTAAATATTGCAATGACTTAACTAGTTATGAAGTACCCAATGTCACCGAGGCAGCGAGGTAGGCGCCCCCATAATCACCGTGCTGCCGAATTAACTGAATATAACGAATCAATAAAGGGAACTAGCGAATATTAGCATGTGGCTACAACTCTGACTTTAATTTGTACAAGCCGTGATTCTTATTCTGTACTATGTACATTTGACTTAAGGTTGGTCGTCCCGTAAAGGTTAAAAAGGGGAACGGGGGCTGTACATAACGGAGTTGTACCTATGCCGTAGCCCCACGTGGCAGCAGCTGGCGAATGCTTTTTATCCCTGCTAAAATTAAATGCTACCTTAACTGGATCGTACGTCAACCCGAAAAAGATGACAACTTTGCCATTTAATCTTTTCAAAACACAACAAAGCATGGCATCAAGGTACGTGCGATTCAATAAACCAACCTATTCATTTCTTGGCTAGTGTCTGCTTGCCTCCTTACCATGGCCGGTGCTCGGGTGGCGGGTCAGGCTACGTCGTTCCCTGGGACCGCTCGGAGATCTCGTGCAGATCGCGCCGCGCTGGTTCAGAAAAGGAAAAGGGGGCCAAGCAAACACTTGCGGTTCACACCCAGCAGGGGACCGGTAGTGACATCTATGCTCCAGAGATGAAGCTATCTACACATGGAGAATATGTATAAGAAAGCTGACTGGCAAAACAGCAGATTTGGCCACTCGACGCTCCACCAGCGAGATTCGCGCAGCGCCTTGTTCGAAGGCTACAGCGGTAGCGGAAGAAACAGCGTCGACCCTGCGAGACGACCGAGCCCAGCGCCGGGCGGATACGGCTATGGATACCCGGGGAGCAACGGCGCCGCGGCCGGCAGCGGCAGCGGTAGCGGTAGCGGTACGCACCTAGGCGTTGACAACAGAGGGAGCTACCGACCGGCGACACCGAATTCCAGGTACGATATCCTCTACGAAGCGAATATTATCTGCCTACCATGGAGCAACATGCTGACGGTGTCGATGTGTATAGGGGACAGTACAGCGACGCGGTGCTGAACGAACTAGAGAGCCAGAACGACCAGCATGTCGAGGGCATCTTAGGGAAGGTCAAGATCCTGAAAGATGTGAGTTTTATACTGCTGTTGCTGCTGCGCGTAAGTTGAGGGGAAGGTTGATTATATATCTACAAGAAAAGAAAGAGACAAAAAGAAAAGAGAAGAGAAGAGAAGCAAGGTTGTGGAAGCTGTCAAGTTGCAACGTAAAAAAGGACAAACTAGAAGATGATGACTAACAATTTGGTACTATGCAAGATGACACACGCCATCGGCGACGAGATCAGGGAGTCCTCGGCCCTCGCCGAGAAGATGAACGACACCTTCGACTCGACGCGGCTACGGCTACGCGGCACCATGAACCGCATGCTTGTCATGGCCGAGCGCACCGGCGTCGGCTGGAAGGTCTGGCTCGGCTTCTTTGCCGCCGTCATCTTCATCTTTTGCTACGTCTGGCTATTCTGATTTCTGGTTCGGAACCTTTTTGCGATTTTGATTCGTTGCGGATACCTCACACCTCACCTGTGGAGTTTTCAGAAAAAACAAAGATTTTAGACGAGCAATAGCAAAGCATTACGAAGAAGGCGTTGCGGCGTGGCATTGGTATGGATAGCATGAAATAATTCTGTTTAGGAGGAACATGTGATGAGTGCTGTACGTACGGTACGAAGGACACGATTCAACAGTACATATGGGACGGGATGACTGGGCTTGGGCCAGTCACTACTACGAAATTGTAATCAATGTACCATAATTCATGTCTTCATTGCCGTTCATATTAAAATACAAGAGGCGGCTTAGCCGGTCGGTTTATGGATCTCCATAGGGAAGAAAGTGAAAAGGGGGTAATGGGTATCTTAAGGTGATGCATGATGCAAGAATTAGAGGTGTGACGTGGTCGTTCTACCATGCCTAAAGCTGGTTGAGTTGCCACTTAATAGTGCAATGCCATATCGAGGAAATATCCGGTTGGCAATGTGAAGCACGTAGGCTGCGAGACATTTCCCGCTCCTTTAGTGTCGACTAATACGTCGCGCAGGGCCGCTGGCTCGCCGCGCCACTTCCGGACTGCTCTGGAGCATGCTGCCATCGTGAGACAATATATCACTGATGGCGAGACTGTTCCGCGTCGCATCGCTGCGCGCCAGACTGTGCCTGAACCTTGGCAGCGCTTGAAAGCTCATCTCGGCTTGATCGTGCTCGCTGCTGCTCAGTTCCGCCTCGGAGTCCGTATGCTCGTAGCCTTCGTCCTCCGCCTCGGGGATGTCGTCGTCGAGATCGCCTTCCATGTCCAGGTCGCCTTCGCCGCCGGCCAGGTCCTCCTCCTCGATCATCTGGGCCTGGTCCTCGTCGTCCACCTCCTCGTCGACGCCGTAGTAGTGGTTGCTATCCCTCCCGCGGGCCATCGACTCGCGGAACGCGTCGTCGGCTTGCCTCATTCGCTGCTGAATGAGCTGGTGTTGCTGCGCGGCTGTGTAAGAGTGGTTCGCCATCTGCTCTGCATCGTCGGAATCCGGCTCTTCCGAATCGTCTTCATCTTCGCTATCGTCCTCGTCGTCATCTTCGTCGTCATCAGAGCCGATGCCAAAGTCGTCCGCCTCGGGAATATCCTCGTCCAGATCCCTGGCTCCGTCCAGCTGCACGTCATCCATGACGCCGTCCTCGTCGGGCCCTCCTTCTCCTCCCTGCGCGAGACCGGTGGCGTCGAGGATGTCCGCATCCATGCCCGCACCGCCCGCACCGCCCGCCATGCCGGCGCCTATGCCCGCGGCCTCGGCCTCGGCGAGCTCCTGGGCGAGCTGCTCGCGGCGCATGGCCTCCTGGTGCTCCTCGGCCTCGCGGCGCTCCTCGCGCAGCTGGTGCAGGGTCTTGGGGACGCCGGGGGGCTTCAGCCAGGCGCTGCCGAAAAGCGCCACGTTCTGCCGGCGGCGCTCGAGGTTCTGCTCGTCGGCGCGCAGGCGCGCCAGCTGGCTCCGCTCGATCAGCGCCGCGGCCGCCCCGTGGCGCCGGTGGTTGTTAGCCACCTGCGCGTGGACCGGCGAGTGGCCGGGGCCGTCATGCTGCAGGTGCTGCGGCTGGGCCGAGTCGAATGCGCGGTTGGACAGCGGGTTGCGCGTGGATTGGTACCAGAGGACGTGTGACTGTGTGGTTTGATTAGCCTATTTGGGAGTCGTGGCATCTGGGAATCTTGGACGTACGTCGCGTGGTCCTAGGTCTGGAAGTAGGGACAACATGGCCGAGCTAGGAACGAGGCATGGACCTCAGGTTAGACGTAATAAATCGTTCCGTGGAATAGTGAGTTAGAGACCATTTCGGGTGGTCCTGTTTCTGTCGCAATGAGGGCAATACAGGGTTGTGTTGCAGCTACAAGTCAACGGTGAAGAGCTGAAGTGGGATGTTGAGGCTCCAAAATTAATTATACACTTCATTATGACTAAGCACTGTAACCTAAGGCGGCACGCTCTTTCTCATTGGTTCGAATAACATGGAAGGAGCATATAATTGAACCACAGCTAAATTCCAATTGGTCGTTCCCCTGCTAAGCTTTAGCAGGAGCGTTGAGGTGCCAGGGCCCAGGAGAAGGCTCATCTCATGGTGGAAACGTCTCTCAAAAATTCAACTTCACATGCCTAACACAAAGCATAATTGACACTCTAAAATCTGTATCTCGTCCCGGTATACCATATCGAGGAACACGGCGACACTGGACATTGACAATGGCTACTCCAACACAGGCATGTGACCAAGTTTAAGAATCAACGTATCCACATTATTTTCTTTTTACAGGCGCAGGCGCAAAAGTCAAGTGCTTCCTGCAGCCTGCGATACAACTTTGTCCATCAATACTCTTCTGGTATAGTAGTAATGCGCTGTCACTCTGTGGCTTATTTATAAGTGGGATTGGTAACGTTAATTGTAAC